GTATAATTAGTATGTGTATTAATGGCAACACAGGTACACTCATTTGTTTACATTTTAAGAATTCTTTTAGTTAGCAAATTTTTGTCTCAGTATTAGGGAAGGATCTAGATACTGGAGATACATAAACTAAAGATCCTGGGAAATTAAAATTAACATTCTCTTGGTGGAAAACTTCACCTAATAAAAACGAGCTCCATTTTAAATTTCCCAAGCCATAGAAGTATGTCTAATTTATTTTGCACTTCAACACTGTCAAAATCAAAGTGAATATTTCCATGATAATTCTTTCCATTCTGACACAAGGTTGGCAATATTTGCAAGTGTAGAGGCTATGTATAGAGTGAGGAAATTCAAGGCTAAACCACATCCAATGAGTTCTAAATGGTAGTGTAGGGAAGGATAAAAAAATTGGGTTTGGGAAAATTAATCTGACTTCATATTTGCCCTGGCCAGGTACTCTGTCAGACCCAGACTCTCTCCTGATTTATTTTGGGATCTTTAGAGTGTAAAGATTAAAAATAGAAAATATTACTATATCATCTATTATCTATTACCTCTCTATTTTAACTTTTTGAATTAGGAAATAAGAATAATTTGTGTTGGCTTCTTCCAAATGTTCTAGCAATAAGAGAATAAAAACCTATTGCTGTCACTGCAATTGTTTTCTTGGAATTTATTGATAAGCTCAATTAATGTGTTGTGAGCATTTTATTTTCTTTGTTTCATCCCTGCACAATGACCACTTACTGAGACAAAAGTTTCTCTCTCTTTCTTTTTTTGCCAATCCTGGGGCTTGAACTCAAGGCCTGGGCATTTTTTGCTCAACGCTAGCACTCTATCACTCTAGCCACAGTGCCACTTCTGGCTTTTTCTGTTTATGTGGTCCTGAGGAATTGAAACCAGGACATCATGCATGCTGGGCAAATACTATACCCTTAAGCCACATTCCCAGCCCTGAGACAAAAGTTTCTAGATCCCATTCCCACCATTCCCACCAGGTGTATGAGTTATCCTTAAGAAAGTATTTTTTTTAATTCAGTTTTATTCTAGTCTTTGTTCTGGTCATATCTAGATTTTTTTAAATGTAACTGCAAATCATCTTTCTTTAACTTGAGAAAAAGGAGAATCTTTCCTGGTTCTTAAGCTTCTTGTAATATGTTCATGCAAAATTATAAAGTGAAAATGAGAATTGTAAGAGCATTTTAACCTCTAAAAGAAATTGGGAAATGCAAAATGAGAAAAACATTTCTTCTACTGCCCAAATATTATTACCCTTTCCAGATTTTTTCCTTTATAAATAATAACAATGTTATAATTATCATAGTTTATTTGAGAAAATATTGCTTTTCTTGTAGCAAAAATTAAATTTGTAGTGACTCATTATTTTATTCTTTTGTTTTTTTTGTGGGTCCGGTCATGGGGCCTGAACTCTGGGCCTGGGCACTGTCCCTCAGCTGTTCAGCTCAAGGCTAGCACTCTACCGCTTGAGCCACAGCACCACTTCCGGCTTTTTCTGCTTATGTGGTACTGAGGACTCAAACCCAGGGCCTCGTGCATGCAAGGCAAACACTCTACCACTGAGCCACCTTCCCAGCCCTATTTTTGTTTTATTCTGAAGAAAACACTATCTTGTTTTCGGATAGGATTTTGAAAGGATTCTTGAAATCTTAAAACAAACATCAGGCCGGCCGCCGGTGGCTTATGCCTGTAATCCTAGCTACTCAGGAGGCTGAGATCTGAGGATCGTGGTTCAAAGCCAACCCGGGCATGAAAGTCCTTGAGACTCTTAGCTCCAATAAAAACCACTAGAAAACCAGAAGTGGTGCTGTGGCTCAAGCGGTAGAGTGCTCGCCTTGAGCTGAAGAGCACAGGGACAATGCCCAAGCCCAGAGGTCAAGCCCCACGACCAACAACAACAAAAAGAACAAACATCAGAATAATACACACATATATATGTACATATATATATATTAGATATTAGTTTTACTGGTAATTCATATCATCAAATTTTTATCATTTTAACCTTTTTCTATCTGCTTCCTCCATTCTTCCTATAACTTTTTCTAATCTTATTTTCTGGTAGTTTTTAAAAAAATCTTTATTTACAGTAAAATAGTAAAGAATAAAGATTGTTGCTTATTTGATGACCAAACGTATATGTTGTATGATAGTGCTTCCCTGAACAAAGTTGATATTTTAAAGAATGTTAACAGCCTAACAACAACCCAATAACAACCTAACAGCAGCCTAATAACAAATAGTCCTACTAACAAATAATCTAACTTTGTCTTAGCATGTGCTAGCATTTCATGTTAGTGTCCTTTGAAGTAGGCATAATTATTGACTGCCTTGGCCAATAAACAATGAGTAGAAGTGATGAATATTTATTTCATCAGAAGCTAGAAGAACTTTTTTGGTTTTTGGTTTCTGAATCCAAAGGTACCTCTCTCATCCTGGGTCCTTGAGTAATTATATGGAACAGAGTTTACTCACTAACCCATACTGGACATGTAAAGTATGAAACAAAGCTTTAATTTTTTGACACTATTTGTTATGACAGCATATACCATCCTACCCTTTCTGACAGAGCACAGCTGTACAATTGCAGCAGACTCTACAGGATTTGTCATTTTTTCTAATCTCTAGGGAGCTGTAGTGTCAATCACGAGAGATGCTGTCTCAGTTAGAACAGCCGAATGTTACAAAGAAAGAAGTTTGCTTTTATTTATTATATAGATAATACGTTGCCATGTCTGAATATAACATGTTCAGATAAGGTGGAAAATCCATGACATATTTTTGATTTCTGGAATTTTATGTGTAATCATTCTCTCCCAATTTTAACAGTTTTCTTTCTTCACTTAAGTGTTCTATTACTTTCCAAATATAAATGCCTTTGGGAGGGAGAATATTTTAAGTCTTATCAATCATTTATACCTTAGCGAATGAAGTATGTAATGAATTAATTACAATGTTTTCTAAAAATAGTGTCTGATAGTGGCAAAAAAATGGGAAGATGATAAAGGACCATACACCTGCCTAGAAAAGGGAAAAGAACATGGAAATTGCATATTAAAGATAATTTACCTATTTCAAAATCTTTAGATGGACTTGTTCTCTGTTTAAGATTTTAGAATATGTCAAAGTATTTCTACAAGATAGAGAAATTTTGAAGTCCTTTGTGTATACAAAAATTAAGCTGTATTAATAGTTTAAAGGTTTCTAGAGATGTTGTACTTCCAAGTGGAGTTATTGTGGGACACAAAAGTTAAGGAAGTAATTTGGCTACTTTGAATGATTTTATTTGCTTTTCAGGGAGAAACAAAATGCTGAAAATGGAGCTGTGGCTCAAGTGGTAGAGTGCTAGCCTTGAGCACAAAAGCTCAAGTCAGTGCCCATGCCCTGAGTTCAACTCCAAGATCTGGCATAAGGAAAAAGAATCTTTACCATTTTATTTGTCTCATAATTAACTGCAATATTTCTTCATGGAGTCCATAAACATTAACCCGATGATAACAAAAGATTGAATCTAAGCTAGGAAAACTTGTGTGTAAGATCTCCCTTATTTTTGTCACAGGGAAGCAAATAACCACTATTACAAGGTAGTGTCTAGAGATAACCACTATTAACTTGTAGATGCCTGGTCATTTAGATGTATGTGACCTTAAGCATTCGCCTAACTTTAGAAACACCAAAGGTATGTCCACATAGTAATATAGCTTTAATTACCTTCTGAGCCTTACAAGTATATATAATGTATATAATAAATTATTCCACACATTCAATGCAATTTTTAACATAAATTAAAATCTTTAATGTTTATTTCTTAACAATGTTTCTGATGTGATTTAATATTAATCTAAATCAATTGATTTTATACTGCTTACTACTTTCTAACACTTCAGAAGATTTAAATGTATCTAAGCAGAAATTATGAAGTAACACAAAAAAGTTTTCTGTTGATAATATCAGAAGCTTTTAAAAATATATCTGAAGTTCTTAAAGCTAGATATGAAAAGCTAAACTATTTTCATATGATCTCCACTTTTAACAAACAATATACATTTGATTGTGTAATCGCAAAAATCAAAAGCAAGAAAAATGTGACTGTAGCCTTTACATGGAACTTCAGTACTTTTATTTGAATACGTTTGTATCTTTTAATAATATAGGCAAAAATAAGCAAATAGTGTGACTATTACAAAATGAGCATAGAGTTACAAAGCAAAAATTGCCAGATGAGAATAAAGTTCTATCTCTTGATTTTAATTTCTTAAAGATAATTAGTACATAAACTGAAACTTTATCAGTTTCATTAATACAGATAGTGGGTAACTAATTGTCATATCTATCAAGAATAAAATTCAAACTAGTACATAAACAACACTACTTAAAAATAAGAAATCTCTAAAGCTCAGTTGTATATCTTCAATATACATGGAAAGATAAAAAATTCTTGGCAGGACTAAACTTATTCTAGACTCATTTTGAGAGCAAAAGGAGATGCAAGAAAACTTTCATTATGGGAAATTCAAATAGCCTTTGAACAAAAACTCAAAATTGATATTCTAAACTAAAGTGTAGTTCTTGAGAACTGAAATGTGCAGATCAGTTTGTTGAAGAACTGTTACTTGTGAAGTACAGCATGTTGCAACAAATGTGGTATCTTAGTCCATTTTGATAACCACCATAGAGTACTTGTGTTTATTCTGGAGAAAAATGTTAATTATGGGGCAATAAATGGGCTCAACAGGAGTTTTTACTGTGGTCACACCACTGTGGAGGAGTGGTGTTGTGTGCTGTTTCTCAAATTAGTAGCATATTTCAGATAAAGAAAGGAAGTAGCCTTAACTTGAAACTGCTGTGTCATTTCTTCTTCCTTAACTGAAATTCCAACCAAGGTTCAGGAAATGCCCTCATGAGCTTACTTCTCTTTTTCCTCAACTAAGTGGATTCCAACCAGCCCAAACTATTCATTACTCATGATCAGATCTTTTACTTTGGTTGTCTCTTTGGGCCTGGAGCTTATGATATGGGAACAGGGACTGTAATCTGGTGTTGTCTGTCGAGGTGATTACACTGAAAGAATCCAATCATTGCTGGTAGGTAACTAATCTAGCAGGTTAATTTTCTGTACTTTAAACAAACTAGGAAGGCAAGTTTAATCAATATCTGTTGTACTTTTGTATACATAGCTTGCTTATAATTATGATTTTGTCTTGTGGGATAACTAGGTATCAGTATGTTAGAGTAGTCAAGCTGTGATTTGCTATAATTTGGATGAAATAAAGCTGAAACTCTATTAATGTCTTATTCTATCTAAGATGTAGAAATCACTGTTTTAGTTCATGATAACCCAAGGAATTTCTTTTTCGGGTTTAATATTCTCAGATATTTACTAAATTGGAACATGATTCAACATTTTATTGCCTCTCATGTTATTTTATGAGTAAATGTTAATGCCTATTTACATTCTAGGAATGTCTATTTTATTAGCTTTTAAAGGTAAGAAAATATAAATTCTGTTCAGAGTAGAAATAACACCAGGCAGTATATTAGCCCATGTTCTTTTCCAGAGTTAAAACATTCTTCATTTTAAGATGTTGTCCTAATCATTTTAAGATGTTGTCCTAATCAGTATTTCTAGGATATTTCTGTAACCTAAGATAACAACATTTTAAGTAACAATTTTTAGCTTTAATAAGTCTTATTTTTATTTAATTGTAAGAATTCAGAATTAAAATAAGGGCTTAACAATGATTTGAATTTGTACATACATGCAAATGTACATACATGTGTTAGATACATATATGTAAATATATAATTACCTATATGAATTCTTATTCCATATTGCCAATGTTATCTCAGAATGCTTCATTGAAAGTAGACATTTGAAGAACAAAAATAAACTTGAGGTAATATTTAATTCAGTTTGGGTAGCTGTAACTTATTTACTGAAACTTCATTTCAGGTTCATACTTTAAAGTAGACTTGATGATTTTTCCTGTTCAGACACTGTGTCAACAAAGCTAATTGTAGCTGGAGTTCATTATCAACATTATCCAGACAATTCTGCTTCAGTGTGTTTTAGGTGAATCTAAGTGCTATTATATAATTCCAATTAGCTTTTAAATCAATATTAATATGAACTTTTACTTTTTGTTGTTGTTGCTGTGATCTACTGTAGGCCACTTTGAAGTTTTGAAGCTTGTGGGTTCTAAAACAAAGACAAACAAACAAAAAAAACTCACCTACAAAAAAAATGAAATACAAGTCATGTAAAAGTCTCTCTCTCTTTTTTTTTGGACGGTCTTGGGGCTTGAACTCTGGGCCTGGGCACTGTCTCTCAGCTCTTCAGCTCAAGGCTAGTGCTCTACAACTTGAGCCACAGCGCTACTTCTTTTATTGGTTTTGATGATTATCTTTTTAGTTAATATTTTTCCAAGCAGTAAAATTGTGCAGTATATCAATTCAATTCACTTAAGTTAAACTCAGAGTTGATGTCAAATGTAAAACATGCTTCTTAAAAGTCAACTTTAATGAATGAAACATAAAAGTTTAAGTTCTAGGTAGCCAAGATAATTATGAGATTTTTACATATATCACATTTTCTAGTGTTAATAAGCTTTCTAGAGAGCTTTTGTCATAATTCACACAGTAGAAGAATAATTTTTAAAACAGTAGTTTGGTGAGTCAAAATGAGAAATAAAAAAAAGTAGAAACTGAAAGTAACAAAATATTTTACTGGAGGGTTTCAAAGAGAATCATGATGAACACTGAAAAAAATATAACAATTATTGTATATCTGTCAAAAGGTACCTGCCATTCACTATTAAATATTTTTCTAATAAGTACATTCAAACATATAAAATATTCTTAGTGTTCTCAAATTTTAAAACATTTGCTTTTACTTTTTTCTGTTAAATAAGTTTTTTTTATTGTGAAATGCTGTACAGAGGAGGGTTACAGTTACATCACTGAGCTAATGAGTACATTTCTTTTTTCAAAGTTATTTATTTATTATTTTTTGTGGGGGGTCTGGTCGTGGGGCCTGAACTCTGGGCCTGGGCGCTGTCTCTCAACTCTTCAGCTCAAGGCTACTGCTCTACCACTTGAGCCACAGCACCACTTCTGGCTTTTTCTTTTTGCTTATGTGGTGCTGAGGAATAGAACCCAGTGCCTCAGGCATGCAAGGCAAGTGCTCTACCACTGAGCCACCTTCCCAGCCCTTTTTATCTATCTATCTATCTATTTATTGCCAGTCCTAGCGCTGGAACTTAGGTCCTGGGCACTGTCCCTGAGCTTCATTTGCTCAAGGCTAGCACTCTACCACTTTAGCCACAGTGCCACTTCCAGCATTTTCTGTTTATGTGGTATTGAGGAATCGAACCCAGGACTTCATGCATGCTAGGCAAGCACTCTACTACTAGGCTACATTCTCAGCCCCACTGGCTTGTTTTTTAAATAGGGAGCAAATTTATACTCAGACCTGCCTAGATCTTGATCTTCCTATTAACACTTCCTACATAGCTGAGATGACTGGTACCATACCACTACTGCTAGTGGTTAGGATGAGGTCTTGTGAACTTTTTGCTAAACTGTAATCCTTTTGATTGCCAGCTCCACAGTTGCTAGGATTACAGATGTATGCCACCATACTTATGGATAAAACTTTCTTTTTATTGCAAACAACCATTTTTATTAGCCTCTTAAATATTTCTTACAAAAATGTGGTGATATAATATTTGGAAAGGCCTACCTTTAAACTGAGTAAGAACAAGATAGTAGGTGAGTCTTTCTCTTGAGTCAACCAGTAAGGAGATCTTTTGAAGTCAAAAGATCATGTCATTTTGACTTAGTTATTATCTTGGCAAGTTTGGTTAAGTTGAAGATGTATGTAGAGGAGTGCTTCTGGACCTATGTGGTAAGTTTTCGGATGCTAAGAGGCTTATGGTATTTGCTGATGAGTATTTGCTGCATTTTGATCCTTAATTCTAGAGACAAGTACCATATGAAAAGTACGTATGGATTCTCTGTGATTGGATTCTAGGGGTATGGGGAGGATTTAAAGAGATCATGATTGCAGTATATCTTGAAAAACACTAGCTATTCTCCTGGTGGATGGCATTGGACTGAAAGACAGAAATATGCAAAACAAGGCATATCCATAAACTTTCAATTATAATTTGGAGTCATATTGTGTGTGAGGGAATAGCATGAGGTAAGAGAAAGGATGGGGCCAGATCATGAAGAGTTATGCTTTTAAGACTTAGGTGATTTTAACAAAGGGAGTAGCAAGATCTGATTGTTCTATAGAGGGATCTCTCTGGCTTTAGCCATTTGGAAGAAAGAATGGATTGTAAAATTGTCATTAGCTTTAAGCCTTTTTATTTCTAGATTTCTTCTGTACTTGCATTAAGACAGCAAAGACAAACTGTGCAGTGTCTGAATAAGACCTTGAAAAGAAGATATGATAGAACTTTGTTTCTGAGAGATCAAAGGCTATCTACAATGATGTTTTCCACTGTAGAAATAACCAATGAAACGGAACATTTCAATGATATGAAACTGGAGCTTACTTTGCATTTTCCATATGACTTTAAGTTAGTGCTTGTGTGTATATGTGTGCTTTAAGTTGAGTCCACACCTAGAGTGGAGAGTGAGAGTCTGGAGCAGGGTCTGAAGATAAAAGATGAGGAATCTGGAGGTGTATACAGCTCAGTCCTGTGTCTGAAGAATAGCTCTGAATTTATTCCTAGTCACCCAAACTTGCATTCACAGAGGAGTTTTGCAGTTGAAAATCTAACTCACAGAAAAGGACTCCTGCCCTTGCTATGAGGCCTCAATCCCTCGAAGCCTCAATCCCTCATTTCTGTCAGATTTTCTAAGCTCCAAAGGGGCTAATGAGCTATTGTCTCATATCAGACGTCTGCCTCCCCCACCCCCCATCTCCAGTTAATGTTATCACTTATCAAACCAGTCTTAGAGAACTCTGCCTCAGGATAGCTTTGAGAGCAAAATTAAATACAGAAGGAAACATTACTTTGCATTATTTGGGAAAGTAATGCTTAATTTATGTTTTCTTTATAAGACATTTCACTATTCCATGTTTTCCCAAATGAATTGTTGGTTCATTTGCATTGGTTTGCATCTGAAACACCGGTTGCAAAATCACTTGGAATTTGTTCTCCCAATGAGAAGTATGACAAAGCTTCTGCAATTACTTTAGGAGTATACATGTAATGATGAAAATTAAACACAATAAGGACAGTATACATGAAAAGATGAACATTAAGCACAGTAAGAACAAAAATAGCAAGAAAATGTGCTAAGAGACAGACATAATTTATAAAATAAATAGATGAGCTAACTATTAGTGTCTGAGAAGCTTTAGTGGATATCAAATATACGTTTTGTGAAGTTTTCTCCCTCTCTCCCTTACATTTCCCTCCTCGCCTCTCCCTTACCCTCTTTTCCCCTCCTCTTTCCTCAAACATTAGGAGCAAACACCTAGCCTAAACTCTCCTGGTAAATCACCTCATTTTCATCTGTCAATACCCTGGAGGCAAGTGCTGACTTCCCTGTTGTTCAGAAGAGAAAAGGGAAGATTTTTAAAGATAGGTAACTTTCTCAAAATGTCCCTGATTGAAGTGATAGAGCAGGGACTGGGATCTAGGTCCATATGGTACCTAGACTGAAATAACTTATATAATCTTTCCTTGTATACTTAAAATTAAACTTTATATTTGTTGTTCTCTTTCATTCATTTTGAGCAAGGTCCCATCTTTGAGAGAGAAAAGAAGCAGTTGAAGGGGAAAAGGTAGAGAGACATTCGAGATCATGATTCTGCTAAAAAAAAATGTTTCCTCGGGTTACACAGGAAAGCTTTTGACTGTACTTTATTTGCAAAAGGAGCAGATGCAGAGGTAACAAGGGACCAGAAGAAATGGCTCTATTTCATAAAAGAAAGGGGTGAAGTGAAAAGACTCATTAATGTCAGAACTGTAGATGGATAACCAGTGACAAATATCAAGTAGATTTGTTTCGGTTTGGGCTGAGAAAGGTCATTGATTATTTTTGGTTAAACTGGTTCACAGAGGCC